CATGCTACGCCATACCCTTTTTAGGGCTTCCGTGATCGAGAATTTAAGTGGGTTTTATTACTAATTAAGGGTAATTTAAAGGACGATTCGTTACCCACTTGGCATAGTATTTTCAAATGGAGCTTAAATTTGCTCTATGTAAGTTAATCTGAAAATAAGTGAACTAGAGAAACAAGTTTCATTATTTAATTCAAAAACGTTTATATTTCGTATTCGTTGTCTGTGGTTGCTTTCGTTTATGGGTTGAGAACAAATATTTGTACATAATAAGAAGTTACTTTTTTTCTATATTTTATTAATAATTATTTTTTACTAATATGTTACTAAACACTATATAGTGCTGTACATTATACACTGGTGCTATTTGGTTTTGAATAACTGAACTTGCAAACTATAACTATTAACGAAAACTCTAGATTATATAGAGAACAGAGATAAGATAGATAGAAAAAACGATTAGATTTTTAAAATTATTGCTGTTATTTCAAAACTATACTAAGCAAAGCAAAAGCAAACTCGCCCTCACGACTGCGATTTGCTGACCCTGAAGATGATACACAACATATTGACAAAATTTATGCTTGTTGACCACATGAACATAAGACAAATCTGAAAGCTTGACGATTTGATTAAACAGTTGAAAAATTATAACTGACACTGGATGGTGACTTTGCCTACCTAATATTATTATGGTTTGCCCTGATCTTATGAATTATGAACGATAACTCCTTAGTAAACTAATTAATAATTAAATTAAGATAAAAAGTAGTTTTCAAAAATTGTCAAATAATAGATTTACATTTTGGAACTCAATTCAGCTATTTTACATCGAAAAAATTATGTTGATTTGGGTTTGGTATTAATCAATCTTAATCAGCAGACGAAACGGTTCATACTTTATATTATAATATGTACATGCTCTCACTTTTAACGTAAAGTCGTGCTACAACAAGGAATATATGAGGCATGTTTATTACATTGACCATTGTAATTTTGTATCTTATGGTTTTTCAATTTTACTTACACTACATTTTTCACTCTTTTATTCAAAATTATTTAAAAAATTAAAACTCTTATCAAAACATAAATGTTTGTTTGCGGTATGTAAAATAAAAAAATTAAACTGCAAATTGTGGATCAAATTGAAAATCGGTACAGAGTTTTGCTTAGTGATCTCAAACTTTCTGCTCAAAAATAGTTTCTTCACTGTGCGACTTGATGGCACTGTACCTGTAATCCAAATTTTATGTTCTGCATATGTTTTTTGTCACGCCAAATATAGCAAAAAGGAATGTGCTCTAAACACGACTCGAAAAAACCTCGTCGTTTAGGAGCAAATCTACAATAAAGTTTTTATTACACCAAAACAGTGGCCTTGGATTTAATAGCGATCGCAGCAAATCAACTCGTCTGGTTTTAAAATGTGCCAAATTTGCCAATGATTATTGTATTAATGTTCAATTTAGACTAATTTTTTGTCCTCCTAAAACTACTAAATTATAATGAATCGAGAATAATGTTGCATTCAAATAATTCATTTAATCCAAGGAAACTGGATTGAGAGTGATAAAAATTTTGATCTCGATTTGCTCCTAAACAAAGAGGTTTATCGAGTAGTGTGAAGAGCACATTTTTTGTTTAGTATTTTCTAGTTTTTTAAATCGCAAGTTGGACAATCCTAAGGTAAAACTCTGTACGAATTTTCAGCTTGATCGGCGAATAAATGTCCAGAATAGGTCAAAAATGGAAAGAAAAAAATTAAGTTTAATGAGCTGTAACTGGAAAAATAATCAGATTTCGAATTTTTCATACATTGCTTACTGCGATTATTTTAGCATATACCCTTGAAAATTTCCTAACGCATTTTCCGAAACCCCTGCATAATGTTATTCGGCAAACATGTGACTCGTAGATTGAAGTGTTCTATAAGGTTAACATAGGTGCTAAAGTTGCCAAATGATATATACCTGTATATCTTATTTACTCTTATACCTACTTTGCATGTTTACCGTTACATAATCCGTCAGTTTCAGAATTAATGTGCCATAAATTTACCCTTAACTCTTGAATAAACATCCTGTTGGGCTGTTTAAGAAATGAGGATTTATATCTTTGATCTTCTGGAACAGAATATGTTGATGCTAAGATGGGAGTAAAAAAGTTATGACGGAATTTATATTTGAAAATGGGATAGATAGCGAGGTTTATTAACCTGTGAGGATCGATTATATTATAGACAAAATAATATTTTTAAATTTAGTACTTAATATGTAGTAGAAAATATCAAATATCGAAAGTTGTTTGTTTCATTTGATGAATTGAAATTAAAAATGGTTGATCTACGATGCAAATATTTGAGTCTTTATTTTACTATGAAGCATAGTGATTATTCCAGCTTAACGTTAAAGCTTTGCTGACTATATAATTTTTGTCGCCATTTCTTTTTTTGTTTTCTAATTCTAATTTTTGTCGCCACTCTGAAGTTTGATGAGATTTAAAATATAAAAGAAACATTTAAATATTTAAAATCCGTTCGTGTATATATATGTACCTACCTCACTTAAAAATTAAATTTCCGAAAATTCATTTTTACACAGTACGTACGTACCTGTGGCATGAATGAGTGAAATAAGTACAATGTATCCTAAGGTGCATTTTCCAGGCAGTTTTTCATTTTGTCATTTGCCACAATTATTTTAATATTAATGGCGCTAAGCCTATTAAGTTAATCCATATAACCCCCATTTCGATCCTGATTTGCTCGTCTGGCTCGGGTGGTAGTTTCTTCAAAAAGTGTGGAACCTATTTTATCTTGATACAATACGTCATGGCATAGATAACTTTGATATTTCTGTGAAGAGTTAAAACACTGTGCCGAGGCTTCATTCGTGCGATACAACAAAATTCTGTTGTAAAATCAGCTAGGATATAAAACTCGGGAAAATTCTTCTTCGCTTATGAGCCAGGCCTCATAGAGCCTAGCTTTAAAAAAAATGTAATATATTTTTTCCATTGTTTATGTTTCTCATTGTGCAACTGTTTTGGATTTTGTCGTAAGTTGTTTGAAACATTTAATGTTTTGTAACAAAGCTAACATAGTTGGAAAATTGGAATTAGAAAGTTGAAAGTCACAGTATTCATTTACTTATCTATGTAAACCAGTGTATTACATAATACATAGTACAAAGTAATTACATGCCAACGTTTATCCTCAGGATATCATCCGAGGTAGCCCAACATCCTATAGATGTGGTTATGTACTTGTACATAAGACCAAGGACCAGTTATACAATAATAACGACTTAAAACCAACTGAATCTAAGCGCCCAAGATATACATCTTCGTTGAGAAAAATGCAGCAGTATTAATATGTACTTCTATTAATTTTTCCACTATTTTCGGCTGCTTCTTTAGCTTAAGTCTTTAGTCGACATTTTCTCATCATAGGCTTACTAGAAATGTAAAGACTACTACAGCGATTTTTGCAAAAACATTCAGCAACGGATTAATTTATTTCTGTTCCTCACTGGGATGATCTCTGAAAATTGCAGACGCTAAAGCTTTTATAATGCAATACATATATTTCAAATTTTCCATTGTTGTACTGTTTTCTATTGTACCAGAAAGAGAGCCTCCCTATAGTTTTAGATTTCTCACTTAATTAACACATACAAATTCAGACCAACGGTTTGGTCAAGGACCTTATAATATTAGTAGCTAAATCCACGTGTTGAAAGACATCACAAAATCATGACGTAGTGCTATTTGGGATTACGTTAATCTTGAGGCTTGTTATATGTAATATATAAATATGCTTTTTTGTTGGTGGATTTAAATAGGCTTTCAGGATTTATATTCGCGTCATTTTCGCCTTTTCTATAGCTCATGTTTACATTTACCTTCAATTCAAAAGCAAACGTCCATGTCGTAGACCTTCCATCACAACATGTCGAAGACTTAGCAGCTTTTGTGATTTTATTGCACTTGAGGCATTTTCTTCAGAATTCAATTGGTGTTAGAAGCCGCAAAGACTTTGTATGTGTTTATTTACGAAAGTTGAGCTTTTTGTATTTTTTATTTCCTTGTAAACGCAGATTTGCACTTTTTATGTCATTTTATCCAAGCATATATCACTGTGCAACATTTTGAAGCTAGTCGAAACACTAAAGCATGCAGGTGTAGAAATGGTTCGATGGGCACGAAGACTTCAAAGGTTAATGCTGGAACCGCAATACTAAAAACAATATCCTTGCGCTATTTCAAGCTATTTTCCGCTAATTTCCTGCGTCAGACAGAAACCGTTTATTCTGTTCTTGCTATGGATCTATCCGGGTACGTCTTCCATCAAATAAAATATGGAACCGAAATCGCACTTGACATAGAAGTTCTTCAGCGCTCCAATTAAACAACTGCGGGAAAAATTGTGTTTGCCAAGCTTCTTATGATTTCACTGGCATAATAAATAATACAAATTTCATGAAATATAAGAAAAATTTATTTGAAGTCTCGGGTAGCATCAAGTGAAAATCATCTTAAAGAATAGCACTGTCAGAAATCATTTGTCATGGGAAGATCTGAATTCAGAAATAAATTATGTCACAGTCGACGGCCAATAGATTTTCTATACAACCGCCTTATATTCCATACAACCATTATACGCTACGAACTGCAAAAAATGGATCAACTATAATTTTAGAGACAAGAATTTACTTTGATCAATTCATGTGGATTTCTCAGTCGCTGTAAGTTAAGCAACTTAATGAAGATTTATGAGGGAAATTTAATTTCATGTGCCAACTACTAGTCTGGTCTAACGAAACGCTATCTTTTAATTAGTTGGACTGAATTAAATTTCTTTTGGAATTTATCTACATTTGGAAGGAAACAACACAATTTCTTTAAGGTTGCCAAACTGTGGTAATAAGGGTTGGTGTTATCATTGGTGCCATTTCAGTATACTTGAGTACGAGATAATCGCAGAAATTGTTTTGCTAATTTTTGTTACAAAAACATGAAAATTTAGAAGAGTTGTAACAAGAAAGCTCTGTTCAATTTGACGTTATTATTAAGCAGAATTTTTATTTTTTATGACTCAATGGGAGGATCAGGAGAGCAAGAAGAGATTCAGTAATCTTGTCACACTAAAAAGTTATAAGTGGTATACCTATCTTATCACACTAAAAAGTTATAAGTGGTATACCTATCTTATATATCTTATCACACTAAACCATGCCATCGTTAAACAAACGTACACTTATTTTTAAAACTGAATATCACAAAATTTTCAAAAATGGGGGTTTCCATTTGAAAAAATTGATTTAGTGCGGTTTTCTCAACGGTATTGTAAAACTTATTTTTTAACACTTTGTATTAATAATTTTCAAAATGTTTTCGAAATTCCACTAAAGTAAGCTCTTTTCAACAATAAATGCGACTCAAATTAAGTGTGACAAATTCCCTTATAGGAAAAATAAATAATTATTCGAGTAGCTGCAACTGTCATTTTTTACAGAAAATTCCAAATATATCAAAAACGGTTAGACCTGGCTGCAGGATATTGTTTGTATACGAAATATATTTAGAACATGGAGTAGAATTAAAAAATGTAGTAATATTTAGGGTGTTCCATTTAAAATAAGCAAGTTGATACCTACTTCCGGTATAACCGGAAGTGTGGCCATTTGGAAAATATTTTAGAACGCTTGCCCCCAATGACCTTGCCACACTGTCCAATTTTCAATTTTCTCCTAATTAGAGTTTGTCAGATATCGATCGCGGAGATTTCCGGTGGGACACCCTGTATAAAGTGCGCATTCGACATGTAGAAATTACTTCTAAGTTAGTCGTTAAGGCAGTAACAGCTCGATGTTGAAAAATCTATTCTTGGGTTGTAAAATAAATGTTTTTTAAAAACCAAGTTTTTACATCCAGAAAAAAATTGTAGTATCAAATTATAAATTAATAAACAATTTACTAGAGGTTGAGATTTAGATAGTTGTTAGTGAGTCGTTGTGTTAAGTAAATTAAAATGTTCCTAACATATCATCGTTCAAGATTAGAAAAAATTGAAATGGGACTCGAAAATTTATTTCAACACCGTTAAAAATTAGCCCAAAGAAAGAAGATTTCGCGTCAAAACATGACAATACCACGGAACTAAAATTCAATGGTGCAAAATTGTGCTCTCTAATCCGATTAACAAATCAATTTAAAAAGCAGGAAATTGCAAAGCGCTTGTGGCATTAAAAGCGTGCCTAACAAGCATTGAAGTATAGCAGCAAAACTGGAATCATTTCAGTATCACAGAAATGGGTTTGAAAGGTGAACATTCAAAACTGGTTTAAAAATTATGTTATATTGAACAGAATTAACTTTAGTCGGACAGGTTTAGGGGTTAAGAACAGCAATACATTTAGTATAAATATCGAAAACAAGTTTTGAAATTGAATATGGTAAATACCATTTGCTATTCCTGCAGGATGCTAAACATTCAGGCCCAAAGATAAAACTGGGTAAATTTTGGGTAAAATAATCTGTCTTCTCCTGAACAACGGGTTTGTCAATGGGTCATACAATAGGAACCATTGGCAGTTAAACAAAATAAATAGACATTATTTAAGGTAATTTTTGCCATGAGATAAATCATGACTTAAAGTAAATACTGATTATATCTTACAATTCAAACAAGCATTCGTTTCGTGTCAATGCAACTTTCATTTCAAAGTCTAATCTTCTGAACTATTTTGCTGGTAACTGACCAAAAAAGTTGGTTCTAAATACTACAGCACACTGATTCTTAACATTTTTTCACTGCTTGTGCACTAGTGGCTAATTTAAGAATTGGACGGTCGTTTGTAGTGGCTTCTAACAACTTGTAGAATCGCTACAATTGATGCCTTGAAAGACGGACTAATTGAAATAAATGGAATTAGCCCATTGTTTAATAGGGATATGTGAGAAATAATTATAGGATTAGTGATGTTCGAGCTAAAATGGAGATTTAGTGTGAAAGGACATTCAGAATAATAGAGCTCTCAAAATATATGTTTAACATCTCCGATATGGATTAAGTTGCCATTGATCATGGTTTAGTTTTCTCTTTTAATGCCAGTCCATTTAGACACTTCTTTTGAAAAGTAGCACTTGGCAAAGCATTGTGGTGGATTTAAATAAAACATTTAGATTAAAACGTACTGTTAAAAATGCTTAACTTTGTATAAACATTCAAGCAAACCTTTTTAATAACTCTCGCTAATTCTGCGAAAACAAAAATATATGAAAGGACATTTAAAGATCATTACAATTACTATATGTAAATAAGTAAAATACATTCAGGGCTGTAGGGAGAAGAAGATAACTTACATTCGCGGACTTAAATAAGGCTATCTAAATACTGCCCCTAATATTTACCTGCTCGCAGTTTTCCAGCAATATAAAGCTGTTTTATATCTGGAAGAAGATAAAAGGAGACTTTAAAACCAGTTGGGCCTGACCTACTTTTGAAGTTTATTTCTGAAATGCTTTTAAATCATTTTTATTTCAGGAGAAAGTTACCGCAGAACATCTCGAACTGTCAACATTACGCCTATCTCGAAGACGTGTTCGATATTCTCCGCTGGGAAACAGGTAAATATGTTAAAAGCATTTTGCTACAAATTTACTTTTTAAAACTTATTTTTCAACGTGCCTCATCTTGCAATTGCGGTTTAAGGTGAGCTATATTTGCATATTTTGTAAGCGCCATAAAATAATAGACCAGAATTATAGATATATATATATATATACAGGGTTGCTCATTAGTGCGTCAAAGTGCGATATCTCAGTAAATATGAAGTTTACAAGAAAATTCGTCCAACGAAAGT